TGAAAAAGTAACTATCACTTGAAGGTAAATGAGTTTAAAGAATTGTCCAGAACACTTTCAGAAAGAAAATATGATTTCAAAACTCCAATATATATGTACACAGTACATCAAACCTTTGGTCAAACAAATACAGAACTTATACACCAAAATATTTCTGCTCACTGTGCAAGGTAATTCGATCTATTTCCCTTTTCTCTTACAAAATTCCTGCTGTGTTGCTAGTCTAATGTCAAAAGTAAATTACATCAAGTCTTATATTAATCTACACAATATCAAACCATTGTGGAAAAGTTTTTAAATTTCTTTCAAAAATTCTACTGAACTATTAACTGTAATTGGGTCAATGCTTTTCAAGACTTAAATAACATTTTGTGACTCAAATTATGCAGGTCATCTAAGTGCCGGTGTCTGTATGCCACAGTGTCAAATTACATGTACACTTACAATTCTATAAAATGAAGACAAGTGCTGCGTAAACATGCATTACTCCTCCTGATTCTGTAAAAGTAGAATTTTCCTTGTAAACATGTTAAGTGTTTCCAAGAGGAATCACATATTATCACTGTAAATAACCTTAGCCATGAATTGATCTGATAGTTGAAAGAAGAATGAGATTGAAAAAAAAGCTGTAAGCATTTGTACTTTATTTCTCAAGAAATTTACAACCCGGAAGAAACTGTACTAAAATATTGGGAAAAATGGGATGGTCCTTGTTAACAACAACTGTTGATGTCATTTCTCTATCATAGCAACAACTAGTGATGTCATCACTCCATCATGACAACAACTGGTGATGTCATTTCTCCATTATAACAACAACTGGTGATGTCACCACTCCATCATAACAACAACTGGTGATGTCACCACTCCATCATAACAACAACTGGTGATGTCACCACTCCATCATAACAACAACTGGTGATGTCACCACTCCATCATAACAACAACTGGTGATGTCATTTCTCCATCATAACAACAACTGGTGATGTCATCACTCCATCATAACAACAACTGGTGATGTCATCACTCCATCATAACAACAACTGGTGATGTTACCACTCCATCATAACAGCAACCAGTACCTTTTGCAATTTGGCAAGAAAGGATTGGCAATGAAAAACACTTTCATTACAATTGCTTTTTATTGTCAACCACTGGGAATATTTATTCTGCATTGGTCAGTTACTGATGACAAAATCAAACAGAAATTTCCTCATAAAATCATCTAAAATTAGCCAGAACAGGTATTTAAACTCTCAAGGCAAGATGATACATCATCTGAGAAGCTCTTTATCTCCAAAAATCACAATTATTGGTGAAAATTAATTAAAGAGAAAAGCCTCAGAAAAGATATTTATCAAAGAATAATTCCCAGTATTCACAGCAAGGAAAAAAAATAGTACTTCAGGACTCAGAGATGATGTGTTTGTCTGCAATGTCAGGAAAATGTTTGATGGGCTCAACAGATGTAAACACAGGAACAAAACGTTTTGATGACTCTGCATTAATCTCGACATAACGCTGTGATGCATTTTTCAGGCACAAAGTTTATTGATTTTTCTTTGTAGTTGATGGTGCAATCCATCCCTTCTACAGACAATACAGTGTGGCTCCTACTTTCAATGATTTGTCAGTCGATTACAGTACTGAATGAAACTTTCATATTTATGAAAATATATTTCAGCAATTATTTTCAAACAGTTATGAAATTGTATATTTAAGCCATACTGTTTAAAACTTATTAAAACTGTGTTTGAATGAACACACAGCACATCATATGATTTAAAATAAACATTTTGTATGATTGCAGCAAAACTTCCAATAGACAAGCCAAAATGAGACCATAATCATGAAAATGTCTTATCGTTCTATAGATACATGTTTCTAAACATGGAAACAGTGTACCAAAGAGATGCATTACTTCAAAAGCAAATGTCAGCATCGTATATTTGGCTACTTATCTAGCTGAGCAAGAGAACCGAGAAATATTGGCGTGTAAAGTTATGAAATGCGACATGGCAATGTAACTACGATTCCCCTGAGAAATCAGTATAGAATATTTGATGCATGTTGGCAATACATTGTACCACTAACTGCAGGATCTCATCTGATACTTAAATGGTTATCAATGTTACTCCTGGCTAAGATGTCTTGTTAATCTTTTCTTGTTTACTTTAATTTTCTCCATATTAGAAAATTTAACAATGAAGGAAAATACATCTAACTTTTGTGATTCAATCTAATTTTGTATTTATCAGTATCAAATGATATTTACCAGAGTTCAACATTTACGAAAAGCTTGAAAAAGTCTACTTAAATGAATGGTTTTAATCTTTTATTCTACAAAAAATACTTTGACAGAGATATTTTTCAAAAGGAACTTTTAAATATTTCACTTAAATCTTATAACTGTTGAAAAATTATCCTTATATATTTCTCATCAAATATTCCGTCAATTATTTTTTCAATTGTCATTAATTTTGCAATGACTTAAATTTTATTTCACAACCCAAACTTGAGACACCAGAGGGAGGATAATACTCTCTCGTACTTTTGTGAAAATATTTTTCATACGTAAATTTCCCTGTTTAACTATAAAATAGTTTAATCTTTGCTCACCATGAATATGTCTCCCTAAAGAATCATGTCAAAATTAAAGAAGGTTTAAAGTAGGAGACATAGTATTTGAATTATTTGATATATTACTATAAGGTAAAAGACTTGAAAATGGGACAATGATGTATCGTTTTGTACGAATTTTTTCTAACATTATTTCATAAAATAATAATATTTTATTGTTTTTTCTTTTGCTTTTGTTTATTTGTTTGTTTGTTTATTTTTGTTGCCTGCTTGACTCTTTGAATATCATAACTACACTGAAGTAGCATATCTAGACATAAAGCCTCCCGAGTTATTAGAATCAACAGTACATGACTAATGACTATGTGACCAGTGATTCCAATTAAGGAATTGCTTATGTCCTACATAGATAGCCCTGCCCAACACAACCATAAAAAAAAATAAGAACAGGGGAGGTAATCCTAGTAGCCAGTCCCAAGAGATTTGTTCCTAACACTGCACCATTTTGTAGATTCTCATCATTACAAAACACATTTAGTGTCAGCAGTTTCAATGGATATAAAGATATGTTGTAGGCCTCGGTCAGAGGTCAAAGGTCATTAATGGACTATACACTTTTGAGATATTCACTGCCTGAAATATCGAGATCAGGAATATACTGACATCTCACCCACTCATGCATACCAGTACAGAAGTGATCGAAACTAGCAAAGTCAATACAATTTTCAAATTTTTTATCAAGGCTTTCCGTCTTTTTGTTGCATAATCCATGTAGTGGAATGGCTTCAAGCCAAAGAATGTTAATGTAAAATTTGTACTTTTGCATGGTACACAGAACAAAATATCTAAAACAAATTACGTACACAACAAGTCCTTATTGTAGTGTGTCAAAACCAGCATACACTGCATTCAAAAATATCTCAATCTATATCAAAACCATAAACAAGATATTTGCATACAGAAATTCATTAATGGAAGTCTTCTATGGTGTTATAAGCCTGTAATAATCTTGGTGTAGGTGTGTAACCATGACAACACAGCGCTTATGGAAGCTTAATGGTCCTGGTAAATAAGCCTGTAACCTGGTCTGTTTTTGATACCACATACTTTTTTTTTATACTGTGGATCTGAAGACTGAATTCTGATTATATCATACTTTGGCTATACTGGTGGTCAGCTTGGAGACCGACAGATTCCTGGCCATATTGATACTTTGACCATACTTGTGGGTCAGCTAGGAGACAGACAGATTCCTGGCCATATTGATACTTTGATCATACTTGCGGGTCAGCTAGGAGACCAACCGATTCCTGACCATATTGATACTTTGACCATACTTGTGGGTCAGCTAGGAGACAGACAGATTCCTGGCCATATTGATACTTTGACCATACTGTGGGTCAGCTAGGAGACTGACAGATTCCTGGCCATATTGATACTTTGGCCATACTGTGGGTCAGCTAGGAGACAGACAGATTCCTGGCCATATTGATACTTTGGCCATACTGTGGGTCAGCTAGGAGACAGACAGATTCCTGGCCATATTGATACTTTGACCATACTGTGGGTCAGCTAGGAGACAGACCGATTCCTGACCATATTGATACTTTGACTATACTGTGGGTCAGCTAGGGGACAGACAGATTCCTGGCCATATTGATACTTAAACCATACTTGTGGGTCAGCTAGGAGACCGACAGGTTCCTGACCATATTGATACTTAAACCATACTGGTGGTCAGCTAGGAGACCAACAGATTCCTGGCCATATTGATACTTTGACCATACTTGTGGGTCAGCAGAATGACAGATTCTTGGACATATCATACTTTAACCGATAGCATTTGTTCAAATATATGATTCAAACCAATATTCAATGCCAAACAATCGTGTTTTCCATGACAGGAGAGTTTCAAATTAGTAGCCAAATTGATTTACATCCAGGCATTATTGATCTCCTTGAGACAAAATATACATTCATGTGAAACTGTATCTGGAGCCTGACAAATTGCTACATAGCTCGGGTCAAAAGCAGACAATCAATCAATCCTGGCAGTAATCTGTATGTTCTCTTTTGACAGGAAACAGTATCAGAAGAGGTCAAATGTTGGCAACGGCTTTGAAAGCCGTATGTCACAAAGATTTTAAATGGGCACTCAGATTTTAAATGTTTTATGCTGAAAGTCAAAATAAATCAATTCATTCATGCATAGATTTTGAGGTCGAACTCGCATATCCTGAGGTCAAAGGTCATTTCTATAGTAGGATCTCTAAGGTCAGGTAAAACTATGATGCTTGCCTGCTTAAAGGTCTGTCCTTTACTACAACCATACACTACCATCACCAGGGTATTGAAATGTATCCCTCCCAGAGTATTCTTTTTATATCATCAAAATATCTAGATAAATAGCATTAACTCACCAACATGGCCAGCCTTCACCTCCACCGGCACTTCCTGTCCCAGCTGTGGACAAAAAATTTCATTTCCATTAAAACATGGACAACAAAAGAAAATTAAAATATATCACTGACAATATTAATGATAGAAAATGTGCACATTCTAACGTCCTATATGTCTAATTTGTATATTCAGCCATTTATCTTGAAGGTTAAATTAGTTTCAACATAAAGGAAACCTGGTTGCCCCTGCTAAAATATTAAATAGTTATCCCTGGATTATCCATAGTAATCCTTTGTGTAAGTCTAGAGATGTACAGAATTAATCTCTCAGGTTACATGGTCACATGTTTTTGTCTTTATGAGTCTAGTTAGCTCTAAGAGTATACAAGCATATTATGATCACAATGTATATCTGAGGGACATATTCAGCAGGTAGATATAACTGTTTCATAGTAAACTCATATTATAGAACAATATATGTACTTACTTGGGTGGTGAGAAGTTCAACCTGTCAAACACAATAAAGAATAAGATTTTAGTATCATTAATATTTCATTGTCTCATAGTGAGAGTATGTATGCATTACATTGTTTTGAAAGATGGTGGCATCGTTTAAAGCATATGACTGCCACCAGATGTCACTGTCATCTCTTGGGATATTTCCACTAATGATAAAGCTAGTATTTGTAGTAACAGCTAGTTCGAAAGGCTGTGACAATTAAGGCTGAAACTGTAACTGAGTTATGTTTAGCCTAAAACTTTAATTGTCAATCAAATTAACAAACATCTAGATAATCAGTGAGATCACAAGGTGAAGGTTAGGAAAATGAATTTGTTCGTTTAGAGAGTTACATGATCTGAAGATTGTATTCCTGTACTCATTTATTTCTAGAATGCATTCTTATGAAAGAGAAAAATTGATCATATTGTGACACAGGATTTGATCATGTGACAATGAGAAATAATGAAACTGGAATTCTAATCATTTGATATAATAGAGAATCATTATGAATCTGGAGATTTAATTGTTAAAATTAATGTTGAGACTTGGCAAATAAAATAATGTGGCATTCCAAAAATGACTATTTACAATAGTTTCTATCCTGCCCTGACAACAGGACAACAACAATAAAAGACATACAAAAATTTTAAAAACAATTCATTCCCAGCACATGGATGATCAGACATATAAACATTAATATTTTGTAATGGATTCGATGAAAAGTCAGGATACTTTTTAAATAGTTTGAAATTTATTTTTCAAATGAGGTATTAAAATCAGAATCTTCATTTAAGATTGTACAGTCTTTTTTATTATCATGCCAGCTATCTGGAGACAGTGATCTGGAGATGCAGACTCAAAAGATCAAAATGATTTGAAAATTGAGTGAGTATTCAACCTTTTTATTCCTTTTAAATTATTCCCAGGAAATTTAATACACTTTGTCATCAGATTTCTATTTTGACTCTGTATGTTACACAATCAATGAGTTCAGAATCCATCAGTATCACAGACACAATTAGTCTTAAAATTCTCTGAAGGTATATTTTATGCACTGACTGAATCAGATTTACTGTCCAGAAATCTTATTGATCTTGGTCATACAGAAGCTTGCAATCAATATAGTGTTCTGTTATCAATGATGAGAACAGATTGTGATCCGAGTGTGACCTCCAAGCGCTGACGGAAAAATCGGCATCAAAACCATTTACAATCCACAGACATTCCTTCAAATTAGACTAAAGCATGATATACACTGTACATGACATCTTTCATCATTCTCAAATATTTCAGTCTAAAGCATGTGGAAAGGTAAAAAAAATATGAAAAGGCAGGAAGAAACAGATTTCTTCCACTAATGCACCTTTTGAATAGCTTCTTTGTTATCAATAGGATAATCCACAGTTCTGTTTAAAACTTAAAGAGTCAGGAGGTGGGCTTATTACTGGATACTGCAAAAGTATTTACTTCTGATCAGTGGTAAATGTGAGTGGGCTTATTACCTGGCATGAGGTTGCTGTCAGATAAAAACAGTACACAGTTGTTCATTTATGTGGGACTAATATTTCACATTGTCTATCATGTGGCTCTTAAAAGTTCACAGATTAAATTTTGCGTTACTATGACGTAAACGACAATAAGTGAAGTACGTATTTACATAAAGTGTATATATGCATGGATATATTTTCTTAGATTTTTAATATTTTAATATTTGTTGCTTACAAAATTATTAAATTTTAGGTAATCGCTGATTAAAACAAGATCAGGAATACATAGCGAAATTAATCTCCAGTCAATGTTAGTACTAGACATTATATTAAGTATACTCATATCAATAATTTGGACTACAACACCTCAGTCATTGAACCTTGTCTTTAGCCTGGCGATGTTATTTACTGTTCCATTGTATATACATCATCACCACACCATTAATCAAATTCTGAAAATCCCCAGATCGACATCCACTTTTCTTAAATAAATCACCAGGAACACAGCACAAGCATAAAATGAATGTTTATGGCGGAGTTTCAACCCTGGTATTATCAGAACGCAATGAAGACTTTTTAATTAGCCTCAAGATTACCTCATTACCTTTACATCAATAAATATACGGACAAGATTTAGGGCACCTAATACGTATGCATTTACGATAAGAATGATGAGCAGTTTATCATCAATCTACCACAAAATTTTCACTCATATCCACCATCAAAATAGAATCAGACAGCATCCTTATAATAAATGTTACCTTATATCTAAAGTAGTAAATTAAAAAAAAAAAAAAGGCAAAACAAAAATTGAAGATGACAGATGGGAAGTCCACAAAAACTGTTTCATATATTGTAGTTTTTCCTGATTAAAAAAAAGAAGGAAGTATGATGTTAGATTTATTTTCATCAAATAATCAGATGATTATCATATTTACAAAGTTTCATTTTTGTATCAGTTTTGATCGATATTGTTAAAATCCGCAGAATTGTACATCATCATAACACTTCAATTTTAACACTAATACTGCTGATGAGCAATATAAAAATGGGATTTGGTCTCGCTTTTTGTCAGTTGTGATTTCAAGTGACGGGATTTTTGATAAATATAGCTTTTAGATAAATATATACAACGATCTCAAAGTGTTAAGGATTCAACCTCTTTAGTAAAACATCATCATATTAATTATTTCATAAACGTATCTCACTTCTATTAACTTAATATGATAAATTTTTATCAATTCGATTACAGAATATGAAAAAGTAGATTACGCAACATATATGTATGCAACGCCATTTCACTGTATCTCCTTTTTGAAATCTGAGCAAATTCAATATATATGGTAATACTTTCTTATCATTAATTTCATATTTACGGAAATACTCAGTCAGATTTGCTAGCTACATATATAGAGGAAACACATCTGTGTATTGTACGCTATTGATTTCTAAGAAGTCGATCAGCTTCAGTATACAATCTACGTATCTCGCACTCCTTCAGGCACTTTTTCATTGATGGATTGTACATACAGTAGACTATGTACGACAGCTTGGATTTATTTTTTGCACGTCGTTGGCAATATTCTTCATACTTCAATGTATTATTAGGCTCAAAGCAAAACCCATGATACAACCTGATGAAAGCATAATTAGAGATCTAGATACAAAAGTTACATACAACGTCTCATTCAGTCAGGGGCTGGATGGGCTTATTGAAGGAAAATGATATAACAATTGTAATTCTACTAGATACAGCAACTACTGGTATGAATGGGTGGGCTTATTTCCAGGCAAAGATTTATACAGAAATGCAGCATTCGAAGGATTTTTTTCTGAATACAATTTGGTAATCTGGTGTAAACTTAAACCGTATTTTATTCATTTTTTGTTTTTGTTAATTTTTTATTTTTCAAGATTTTTTTGATATATAATCAGTACAGAAATCAATAATATCCTTGATCAATACATAATATATATATATATATATCCACACACATTAATATGTATATATAACAGAGTGAAGGATATTAATGAAGTACTCAATTATCTCAAGCTGCAGTTGATAATCTGACCTCCCTGTCTACTTCATTTCCATGATGACAACACCTTTGGTCAACTGTCCAATTGACCGTAAAGTGAAAGGAAATTACACCGGTCAAACCACACTTCATATCACGGTAAAGTGGATTGCCGATCGACCCATCGGCTGATACTGTTAAGAAAGCATCAGTCCATCAGACACACAGGATTTCATGACAAATGGAGTTTCGTGTAATGGTAGAGTCCTGAATCTCAATCATCTAGAGCCTTTCCATGTCAGTTTGAACATTTAAAATAACTTAAATGCACACTTTTAGAGAACTAATTGGCACCTGGTCTGTTATTACAGGTGCACAGGTCTGTTTAAACTGGTTTAGTTTTAGTGTACCTACAGAATGCATGTATTTTTGTTACATAGACAAATCCTTTTATTCAGATTTTATATGTACTATGTTTCCATGACAAATCAAGACTACAATGATTTAATTATACATCACCTAAAGGTCACCTAGTCTACGAGCTAAATAGTATAAATAAAATTGAAAAAACCAATTACAAATATATTGTGTTCTTACTTAGTAATCTTAAATTGTCAGTAACAGCAGACAGTAGGACAACTGGAATACCAGATTTGTTCTGACAAGTGCTCCGAGCCTAAAATAAATGCATACCATTTCATATTCTGCTAAAATCAATGTAAAACCAATGGGAGAAAGAAACATTCTCAACACATTTAAAAAAAATCTTAAGATCTCCCTACTTGGCCTATGAGTGAAAAAAATTTAATCCCTTCCTTTTTGGTCTGAGGGTGAACAAAAATTCTCGACCCTTTCCTACCTGGCCTGTGAGTAATGTCATCCATTGACAAAACCCTAAAAAAAAGTCTTGTCAAGTAAGGATATTGTTTTTGTTCATATCTTTTGTAAAAATTGGACTGTTGAATGATACATTTTTTCGCTGAAAAAACTACACAGAAAAATTTTTAAGCTCGTTTCCAATGTGTAATTGTATTATCTAGTTTATTTTATAAATCCACACCAAATCTTACTCATTGTCAGAGGGTCATGTGACCTCACTATAGGAAAATGAAATAAGGCATTCGTTTATAAAAAATCTATATATAGATGGCCTTATTTCCATCAGACCTGGGCTTATTCTTGTAGAAATCTGGTATGTTTTACCTCAAATTATCCCAAGTAACACACTGTGCTGTAAATAAATGTTCTCTGTCTTGGAAAACACCCGCATAAAAGAATGTAATGATTCAGATATTAGTTTTCGTCTGCCTTCATAATATGATTACCAACACTGTGTAATATTGTAGCCTTATGAAGAAATAAATTCGAAACAAGACGATGATATCGATATTGAAGAATTAAGACGTCTTTGTGTTTGTCTCCATTCAAATTTGGGTGATTCTATTTGATATAAGGAACCAAAACAAACCAGATCAAATGTGCTTTGCTATCAGGGCATGGATATTGATTGAGAATCAGAATAGCATATTAGATATAAACTTCCTAGTTGTGATCCAAAAACAAGTCAAAATTCAATATTTTTCGATTTTAAGAAAATTTAACAACCTTTGCCCAACCTTGTTTAAATGTTTTATGAATTCTCTTTCACTTTAATATAAAACCTCTAAGTTGGAATCCCAGTGACCCAAACCTTCCGGATTTAGACCCTTAGGGTTCACTTCCTTTTCCACTTTTACATAAGTAAGGTCTTCAGAATCGTTTACTATATTTAGTACAGCAATTGGTTGAAAACAATAAAAATAATAGTTTATATCTTTCTACATGAAGCCTCATATTGATGTTGATTTTCTTGTCATTATGTGAGTAAAACTGTTTAAACTAAAACTATAAAAAATTTTACGATAATCATTTTATCAAAATGGCCAAATATAGCTTAATTAACACAGAGGTCTTCCTGTGATGAAAATCAAGAGTATTTAATGGAAATATACACACACAGTTGGACAAAAAATCAAAACTATTAAAAACTATTAAATCCAGTTTGGGAATCAAGCTTCAATCACCCAATGGCAAGTTGTCATTATCAGAGAACTTTAAATCATAGCTCTTCATCACATAATTACCTTGTTATCAGTGTAATTACAACCATTACATAATCATAATTTGTTATGGCACATCATCTTCTGTAAGCACATGATCTTAAGTACAGCTGTGACAGGCTGAAGGTTCCCAATGGTTCACATAATATGATGATCTACATCCTAATTCACATTGTAATTAATTGTATATAAGTAACACAACAACAGGAAAAAAATATTAAATTAAAAGTTAATATTAATTTAGATCTTGTTTATATCAAATGAAATATTTTCACAAATATCTGCAAAAGTATAACTGTTGATAAACAGAATCTTACATTTGTTCCATTTTTTTTTCTTTTTGTTCTCACCTGTAAAATTAACACTTAAGCAAAGACTCATTTCACATTTAATCTCCTATATAAATAGACTTGCTGTCAGGTTCTCCATTTATCTAATTAATTTGAATTTTTAAGAAGTTCAGTAATACAATGGCAACAGTCTAATAGCACTTTTTTGGGGGTTCTACGGTAACTGAGTTTCAGCCAGCAGTGACAACTTAGTATGAGTCCAGTGTAAAATCTATAGGATTTTGTCTGCCTTCTATCGCCATGTCTGCCTGTACGTGTAGCACAAGTGTAATTGATTTAAGGCAGAAGACATAATCACAAGGGAGATATTACAAGTCAGAATTACCTCCTATATTATCAATCACAATTTTCTTCGGTTATTTTTATTCATTAATTTTCATATTTGTTTGTGAGATTATAAATTACTTATATTTCCTAATTTCTTCCACTTACATAATTTGTGATTTTTTTTTGTATTTTGAACGCTAGCAGACATAGAGAAACTGAGAACACAGATTATCTGTGTTGTGGTATATCCTGAGGATGGACTGAGACACTATATCTCAATTGCTTTGGATAGCATGAGGTGGTGGGCTTTCTGTATATCTGAGTGAGGTTGCCACCAACCACTACAAGACGACCCTGGCTCATGATGGAACAATACCCAGCATGCAAACAAACAAACAAACAAAAATTATACTTATATGTTAAACTATCAATGATATCTCAAAGAATATATATAAACTGTATATATTCTAAAATAAGTCCAAGAACAAACACCTCCTTAAGTCCTGACTTAAAGTAGAGTGTGGGCTTATCACAGGACAATGATATAAAGAATTGGTTGACTTTTCTATGCAAAACTCCAACAGACATTGGAAGGCTTAAAACAAGACAAGCATATATAACTATTTATTTGGTAGGCTGATAGACTTTAAACATACATGTACAAATGTACCACAATCTTTGTCAAATTAATAAAGTTTGGTTATTTGTTCACAGTGGTGTATGAATTCCATCCCCTTCTATCTCTAGTGCAAACCCTGGGCTCAAAAATCAAAATGATTTTGGGGTCAGAATATGTGTCAATCAAATACAATTGTCCATTGTACAGCTACAGAAGAGAAGTTTAAATAAGACATCAGGTAGGTCCAACAGTGACATAAGACCAACTGAGACAAAGACCAATTTAGACACAAGACCTATTTAGACACAAGGCCTATTTAAACACAAGACCAACAGAGACACTATACAAACTGACACACATGACCAACTGAGACACAAGACCAACTGAGACAAAAGATCAATGTAGACACAAGACCAACTGAGACACTACACGAACTGTCGCACACAAGCAACTGAGACACAAGACCATCTGAGACAAAAGACCAATATAGCTACAAGACCAATTTAGACATTAGACCAACTGAGACACTATACAAAGTTAGACATAAGACCAACTGAGACACAATTCCAATTTAGCCACAAGACCAACAATAAGACACAAGACCCAACTGAGACACAAGACCACATAGACACAAGACCAAAATATACACAAGACCAAGTGGGACACAAGACCAATATAGACACAAGACCAAATTAGATACAAGACTAAGTAAGACACAAGACCAAATTAGATACAAGACCAACACAGACACAAGACCAAATTAGATACAAGACCAAATGGGACACAAGACCAACATAGACACAAGACCAAATTAGATACAAGACCAAGTTAGACACAAGACCAAATTAGATACAAGACCAAATTAGACAGAAGACCCAAATGTGACACAAGACCAAACTGAGACAAAGACCTTTTTGAATAACCCCATTCATGATTAGACATAGAATGACAAACCCAGATTTAAGTTTCCAAACTTAATGTTCTATAGCCTTGCATGTACAAACTGAAACACTGCATATTGGCCTATACACTTAACCATGCTGAACTGACATTTGAGACATGTGATTTAATTTATATCTGTGACTGACAATTATACAAGAACAGGTGTAAGGCTAACCAAATTTGACTCAGACTCATCACCAGTAGCTTTCTCCATCTTATCAGTGACCTTTTGTAACCATTTTCAATGTATTTTTACAGCCCACAACTGTTTTGAAGGAAACAACTCAAATTGTTCAGGTTTATTATATTACTCTGATCATGTTTGAGGTGAAATCCCAAGATCTCAAGATGAACTTTCAAGATCTCAAACAGATCTTCCAAGGACTGCAAAACAAGGTGAACTCCCAATATCTTAAGAAAAATTTCAAAGAATTCTAAAAATCAACTATAAAACTCTCTCTGAAATTGTCCCCAAGATCTTGTGGACTGCTATGATCTCAAGATGACCTCCCTGGATTTCAAGATGAAATTCTTTCCTCAAAGTGAACTCCTCTTATCTTAAAATGAACTCCCATAATTTCAATGCAAATTGTAATGATCTCATGGTGAACTATCATGATCTGAAGGTGAGTTCCATTAAATCTCAAAGTGCACTTCCATAATTTCAAGGTGAACTTTTATGATCTCAAGGTGAAATCCTATCACCCCAAAAGTAAACTTCCTTGATCTCAATATGAACTTCAATGATCTTGACGTGAATTCCCATGATCTCAAGGTGAATTCCTATGATCTAAAGGTAAATTCCCATGATCTCAAGGTGAATTCCCATGATCTCAAGGTGAATTCCCATGATCTCAAGGTGAATTCCTATGATCTAAAGGTAAATTCCCATGATCTCAAGGTGAATTCCTATGATCTAAAGGTAAATTCCCATGATCTCAAGGGGAATTCCCATGATCTCAAGGTGAATTCCTATGATCTAAAGGTAAATTCCCATGATCTCAAGGTGAATTTCCATGATCTAAAGGTAAATTCCCATGAACTCAAGGTGAATTTCCATGATCTCAAGGTGAATTCCCATGATCTCAAGGTGAATTCCCATGATCTCAAGGTGAATTTCCATGATCTAAAGGTAAATTCCCATGAACTCAAGGTGAATTCCCATGATCTCAAGGTGAATTCCCATGATCTCAAGGTGAATTTCCATGATCTCAAGGTGAATTCCCATGAACTCAAGGTAAATTCCTATGATCTAAAGGTAAATTCCCATGAACTCAAGGTGAATTTCCATGATCTCAAGGTGAATTCCCATGATCTAAAGGTAAATTCCCATGAACTCAAGGTGAATTTCCATGATCTCAAGGTGAATTCCCATGAACTCAAGGTGAATTTCCATGAACTCAAGGTGAATTTCCATGAACTCAAGGTGAATTTCCATGAACTCAAGGTGAATTTCCATGATCTCAAGGTGAACACCCCAAAAAAGCTCAAATTGAACTCTCAAGTATTTTCAAGGTCAATCTCAAAGGTCTGTATTAATTAAATCTTATACTATAATATTGGTATATCAAATGGTTTTACATTTTATAAGTTACTGCTGCTGATGCCAACAAAGGTTTTCTCTAACCAATATGTACACCTCAAGTCAAACACTCTATGTTTCAGGCCACACATATAAGCATCCTGATCCCAGTACAGCATATTGCATTGTGATTGAGGACAAACTGATAAGGCAGTTAAATAGATCAATACTACACTACCGTTCGCAGACCACTGTGTATCCACTAAATGAAAGATCTAGTAGTGCTATATTGCTCAAACATGGGAAAAAATCAAATACAATTTCCACCCAATCATTGGCTGAAAAAGCCATGTTCCAAAATTTTTACTGTTTTTCCACAACTTAAGTAATACAAACTTTTCATTTTCTGGGTTGCTAAATATATTTCTCCCGCAGAACTGATTCACTACAGCGATTAGCTCAGTGATTACTAAGACTACAGATCAGTAATCTGTGTCAGTCTGGATGCAGGGCTTTTTATACTTTACAACTAGGAGATACTGCAATAAACCTAAGGGGCCAAAACATCAACAGTGACTCAAGTAAAGACATGACAAAATTGTACTGACTTGTGGGTGTAGAATATCTGATTTTAATAGTAAGATTCCCTGACTCATACAGGACTTCAACTGATTCTTAAGTAAGTAATTAATATGTAAAATTTGTATATACCATGTGTAGATGAACAACATAATAATGATGTTTGAATAACATTTTTCAGTTATTTAAATTTGTATCTATCAATACAAATCACATAATTCATAAACATTTTTCAGGACGGAAAATTAAAAGCTTCTTTTCAGTAATATCTGATCAATTTTATGCAAAAATCAAATTCAATTTCTATCATAAAAATAGGTCAGAATCTTCCAAATTTTTTTTTATGTTTTCTACTAACAGCGGTACACTATGGATCAATGTTGACATGAAAGTCTTCAAAGTTTCTTAATAAAAAGTATGTTAACTATAGTTTTTTTACATAGACCAATTTCCACTAATATACCACCGAAAATTATTTTCCAATATTTAATTTCAAGCACTGACCTCCATCAGAATACTTTTCTGGAAACAAATATTTTCTGTACTTTTCTATGCCTAAATAAAACCTAGTACAATATTGGCACTTCTTGAAACGTGTGCCAATAGCAGTCAAATGGTGATGAAATATTTATGAGAAACATGGAACAGAATGACATAATATTGTAAATATTTTTATTTCAATAGTTGTAAAATAAAAAAAACTTACGACTGCTTCAGGGCGCAACGTCAAATCTGTCAACTCAGCATCGATTCCTGCGATAAAAGAATAAGAGTTATCGAGTATGTGAACCAGATCCAGAGAAAAGATTCTGATTTTCTGGTAGCTCTTCGTGGTTAGCTGGAATGTGACAGTGATACATATCATATAGCTATACATTTGAATGCTTACTTACCAAGTAGTATATCTATATCTATATAAACAGAGGTACTGAGATACCTTTCATCAAAACTGTATCTGTATATATAGTATTATGTATGTATAGATCTACACTGTATTCATACTGCCAATAAGCCCAGGGTACAGTGAATTTTGGGACTCCTATATTTGATTCCTGGGCTCATGCTATTCCTGTGGTACTCACTCAAATTTTTGAGAACCCATTATATCAAAATTTTGTTAATGGTGCTCATGGAATCAACAGAAAAAAAATTCTACATGAACAAAAATTACTGGGGTACAAACACAATAAATCCAAGTCAAGGTCAGGGGTGGGCTTATTAGAGGACAATAAAAATTATAAATAAGTAGTAATGTTTATGAACAATAATATGCGTAGGTGGGCTTATTACTAGTCTTGGACTTATTTTAAGATAAATAGAGTAAATGTAATGGCGTCTTTATGGCTGTACACTTTTGATCTATGAAAATAGGCAGCATACAGCCTTAACTCAAGAACAAAATTCCCTTACCCTTTAAAATGCTATAGTTGAGTTTCTCCGGGTCAATATTCTCCACATACTGCCCAATGTACTGCTGTAGTTTCTGGATGATAATATCCTTCAACATGATGACTACAGTGTCTGCATGTGTTGACTCACAGAGTCAAGGTCACTTCTCATTGACCAATGGTCAATTCTCACTGACCAGGATGTAACTGTGCTGAGGTGAACATCCTCCTACTGAAAAAATGAGAAAATTGTTTAATACAAAGAGTTAATTCTCCTATATGATGTCATCTGTATGAGGTGTGAGGTCACCTGTATGTTAAATGAGCTCACTTGTATGAAATAACCTGTATGAGACATGAGGTCACCTGTAGGAGATATGAGGTATACAAAATGGTGTAACTGGTATAAGACATGCAGTCATCTGTATGAGACCTGATGTCACCTGTATGAGACATGAGTTTACCTGTATGAGACCTGAGGTCACCTGTATGAGACATGAGTTTACCTGTATGAGACATGATGTCACCTGTATGAGACATGAGTTTACCTGTATGAGACATGAGGTCACCTGTATGAGACATGAGGTCAGCTGTAAAAGATAGGATAAAGTAGCAATGAAAATGAGGTCAGACATGGGATGTCAGGTAACCTCTGTGCATTGGTGTCATTTGTGACATTGTGATAATGATGTCAGTCTTAACCTGTATGATACATAAAATCACCTGTATGAGATGTGAAATCACCTGTATGATACATAAAATCACCCGTATGATACATAACATCACCTGTATGATACATAAAATCACCTGTATAAGATGTGAAATCACCTGTATGATACATAAAATCACCTGTATAAGATGTGAAATCACCTGGATGATACATAAAATCACCTGTATAAGATGTGAAATCACCTGGATGATACATAAAATCACCCGTAAAATCACCCGTATGATACATAACATCACCTGTATGATACATAAAATCACCTGTATAAGATGTGAAATCACCTGTATGATACATAAAAAACCACCTGTAAAATCACCCGTATGATACATAACATCACCTGTATGATACATAAAATCACCTGTATAAGATGTGAAATCACCTGTATGATACATAAAATCACCTGTAAAATCACCTGTATGAGACATGAGATCACCTGTATGATACATAAAATCACCTGTATAAGATGTGAAATCACCTGGATGATACATAAAATCACCTGTAAAATCACCTGTATGAGACATGAGATCACCTGTATGATACATAAAATCACCTGTATAAGATGTGAAATCACCTGTATGATACATAAAATCACCTGTAAAATCACCTGTATGATACATAAAATCACCTGTAAAATCACCTGTATGAGACATGAGATCACCTGTATGAGACATGAGATCACCTGTATAAGATGTGAAATCACCTGTGTGATACATAAAATCACCTGTAAAATCACCTGTATGATACATAAAATCACCTGTAAAATCACCTGTATGAGACATGAGATCACCTGCATTAGATATGAGGTTACCTATATGAAATTGTCTGAAAGGTTACAGTGGTCACTGGTATGAGATTGAAACATCAGATGCATGAAAAGTAAAAGTTAGTGTGTAACAAAAAAACAACTTTATGAGATCAATAGTTGTTAAGAAACAATATTATTTTTACAGAATATTTTCAATTTTAGTTGATATCTGTGGAACCCAAACAACCAAACTATTTTTATCAGACTGCAAATGTATTACTCACCCACAAGCATGAGTCAATGATGCAAGTGTTAGCCTACTACAATCGTCAATAAATCTAGCACAATGCCAATGTGAATTAAACATACTCTACTTAAATGAACTACTTTTTAACCCTTACTTAAGGGTTTTTTTTTTTTTTTTTTCATTCAATACCATTTTGTATTTGTCCATGTAGGCTTGCAGTCTAATTGTCAATTTATATTCTCTTGCCAAGCATAAATTTAATACTGCCTTATAATTACGCTATTGGCACTTGCTTATCAGTAGCTCTCAGGATATCTGAGATCTCTGATTTATCAAGATATCATGGTCTATGGGATGGTCTTCAGAGAACATATCCCTAACTATAAAACTTCCTATAGTATTTCTAGTAATTCATGTACATCTAAACTTGTTTCACTTTCTTTGTTGAAATGTCATGAAGAAGTAATTAAATCTGTGTGTATTACGTAACATTTAAACCAACCAGATGACAAAATTGAGTAATAAAGGTCAAGGGTTAATCTCAACAAGTTTCACTGCTGGCAAAGGGTAGTAATCCCCAAGTGGTACATGTTTTCCCCTCAGAGTATAAGCAAAATCCAAATCAAGAGAATATATTCAAAACATCACGAAATTTCCCTAAAATAGAAATAAAAAGTCCACCAAACAGTGCTAATTTGTACACATAACGTCCCATCTTTTCAAATCATTCCATCATGAAAAAGAAATATCAATTTCACCTCAAAATGGTCATATTTTATTCACATAATCTTCATATGTATGTCATGTATATTTACACTACCCCTCCTTTGAATTCTGACCAAAAGGACTGTCCGAGATTTCTCCACTTCTCAAAATAGTAAAAAAAATCCTTCTTTCCACGATTACAATGGGTATTATTCCCCATATTCTAAATTAACCCCTGTAGGTGATAATGATCATTATACAAAATCTTGTACATAACACACTGTACTTCAACGTGAAATATGATCAATGTTACAGAATTTGGATTTCATTTCCAAGATCAACAGAATTGGTTAATAATGCATTATATACTGCCAACGTTCATAACACGGAGTAGTATTTCTGCAACGTGAATGAAATGGCATAATTTCCACTTTTTTTAAGGGAGATGATTCACCGCTCCATATTAATGGAAATGTCACCATTTATCACATACAGTAATAGACATCGTCAAATAACTGAAAACGATACAATGACAAAAGCAGAAACAGAAATGATAAATGTTAACTATACCGGCAACAGATACACCTGCAGACGAAACATCGATGCCGATTGAAGCCGATTCCAGCATCTGTCACAGCAAAATATGGACCCAGATGGCGATCAAAACAGGAAATATTTATGACATTAGCACTTTTAATAAGAAGTCTACTTTGCGGGTATTGTGCACTTACCTCAATATATCGCACTTGTCTAAATTCATTCATTTTTTGACAAGAAGAAACCATCATCTCCTCTCTAGGTCTCGGTGATTAAAAATACATCGTCACGTGATCAAACATAGAAATTAACTTCCGGAAAACAAGCGCCATCTATCACAACATAGACAGCTCGTGCTAATATGGTTGAACTTTCAATATTAGAAGTATTGTCGGGTTGAAAAAGGTGTTTGTGCTGCTAGTTCCCAGAAAAGTGAGTGGTAAGCAACATATCAAGTGACATATTTCCGATGCAAGCGTACGTCATACATAATTGCTTTTAAATGTATGTACCAGTTTCTGTCGCTGTCTTCGGTATACAGTCTGTATGTATTACAGAGGACACAGGGACATTCAAATAGCCCGCAATGTAAACAAGATCGCTCGCCCATGAGCTCGTACTCCTGGGTCACAGCATTTTTTTTTTATTTATTTGCCAAAAAAGCTACACCACTATAAGTTGTTAAGGAGGTCAATGAAAATTTATAGATTCTTCTTTTTTAACCAAAATGATAGATTGTGTTAGCAATCAACAAATGACACACAATTTTATTTTATTAATAAACATTACAAAATGAGAACGAAAAATAAAGGTAAAAATAAAAAGGTCCCAATAAAGTGTCAAACAGCTTTTGTCCCGGTGTAATAGCGAGCAGAGAGAAACATCTTGTTCACACATGAGGTGTTACTTGCAGGACATTTTAAATTTACTGCTTTACAAAGGGAAATTAACCTTCTACATTATGCTTCTTCCTTCAGAAAGTCTTTGATGCCCAACATCAACCATGGTTTGATATATCCAAGAAAGCATCTTACATCTCCTATAGCTACTACCTTTAGAACTGGCAATGCATCAGGTATGTAATAGGAGGTATCATGTGAAAAACAGTCAGTCCTCACTAGTGTTTGAACTAGTGATCCCTCAGTCTCTAGCTTGACACTTGACCTCCTGTGCTTAAGGTGACCTGCACTCTTAACTCCTACAGCAGAAACAGTGATATTCTTAAGTCCCGACATTCCACAACATTTTGTTCACCCTTATGATTGATTTTGTGGCATTCTTAGTATTTTTGTCTCAAAAACTTTTCTAGTCCTGTTGATACCACTAGTCTTGTTGACCCCTATGACATTGCTAGTCTTGTTGACCCATATGACATCACTAGTTTCGTTGACCCCTATGACACCCCTAGTCTTGTTGAACCCTATGACACCCCTAGTCGTGTTGACCCCTATGACATCACTAGTCTTGTTGACTCCTATGACACCCCTAGTCTTGTTGACCCCTATGCTAATCCTTGTCTTGTTGACTCCTATGACACCCATAATCTTGTTGACCCCTGTGACACCCCTAGTCTTGTTGACCCCTATGACACCCCTAGTGACCTCTATGACACCCCTAGTCTTGTTGACCACTATGACTCCCCTAGTGACCTCTATGACACCCCTACTCTTGTTGACCCCTAATACACCCCTAGTCTTGTTGACCCCTATGACACCCCTAGACTTGTTGACCTCTGTGATACCCCTTGTCTTGTCAACTGCTATGATACCCATAGTCTTGTTGACCCTATGACACCCATAGTCTTGTTGACCCCTGTGACACCCCTAGTCTTGTTGACCCCAATGACACCCCTAGTCTTGTTGACCCCTATGACACCCCTAGACTTGTTGACCTCTGTGACACCCCTTGTCTTGCCGACTGCTATGATACCCATAGTCTTGTTGACTCCTATGACACCCATAGTTTTGTTGACTCCTATGACACCCATAGTCTTATTGACCCTATGATACCCCTAGTCTTGTTGACGACTGCTATGATACCCATAGTCTTCTTGACTCCTATGACACCCATAGTTTTGTTGACTCCTATGACACCCATAGTCTTATTGACCCTATGACACCCCTAGTCTTGTTGACTCCTATGACACCCCTAGTCTTGTTGACCCCTATGACACCCCTAGACTTGTTGACCTCTGTGATACCCCTTGTCTTGTCAACTGCTATGATACCCATAGTCTTGTTGACCCTATGACACCCATAGTCTTGTTGACCCCTGTGACACCCCTAGTCTTGTTGACCCCAATGACACCCCTAGTCTTGTAGACCCCTATGACACCCCTAGACTTGTTGACCTCTGTGACACCCCTTGTCTTGCCGACTGCTATGATACCCATAGTCTTGTTGACTCCTATGACACCCATAGTCTTATTGACCCTATGACACCCCTAGTCTTGTTGACTCCTATGACACCCATAGTCTTGTTGACCCCTGTGACACCCCTAGTCTTGTTGACCCCTGTGACACCCCTAGTCTTGTTGACCCCTACAATATTCCTTGTCTTGTTGACCCTATGACACCCCTAGTCTTGTTGACCCCAATGACACCCCTAGTCTTGTTGACTCCTACGATAATCCTTGTCTTGTCGACCTCTATGACACTCCTAGTCTTGTTGACCCCTACGATAATCCTTGTCTTGTTGACCCCTATGACACTCCTAGTCTTGTTGACCTCTGTGACACCCCTTGTCTTATTGACCTCTATGACACCCCTAGTCTTGTTGACCCCTACGATAATCCTTGTCTTGTTGACCTCTATGATACTCCTAGTCTTGTTGTCCCTATGACACCCCTAGTCTTGTTGACCCCTATGACATCACTAGTCTTTTTGACCCTATGACACCCCTCGTCTTGTTGACCTATATGACACCCCTAGTCTTGTTGACCCCTACGATATCCTTTGTCTTGTTGACCTCTGTGACACCCCTAGTCTTGTTGACCCCTACGATATCCCTTGTCTTGTTGACCTCTGTGACATCCCTAGTCTTGTTGACCTTTATGACACCCCTTGTCTTGTTGACCCCAATGACATTGCAAGTCTTGTTAACACTTATGAGACCCTTAGACTTGTTTACCTCTGTGACATCACTAGTTTTGTCCACCCCTACAACATTCATGGTTTCATTGATCAATATATCATCCCTAGTCTGTTCCATACAAAATTCCTTGTCTTCTTAATGCTATGATATTCCCAAGTGCTTATAACCAATGGTGTAACTATCCTAAATCTTGTTGGTCTTCATTCACATTTGAATGGTTTTCAATAACAGCTATGTTTATTCTAAATTTACAGGGTGTTAAACTCTCTGTGTAGCAGACAAATAATGCAGGCTTCATTAAATTTAAAATGGATGCTGACCTTAACGAAACATCTACCAAAACGTCGCATCCCTGGTTTATCTCCCACCCAAATGCAGAACTATGGCAGGCACAAGCAATTACACACAATGGGTGAGGGGAGACAACTCTCCAGTTGTGCAGCAGAGACACTAAGCAATAATGTATACACACCACGAAGAGCTGTGCTGTATGTTCCTGGAAGTGATGAAAGAAAGCTTCAGAAGATTACAGGTCTTGATGTGGATTGTGCTGTAATGGATTGTGAGGATGGTGTGGCTGCGAACAGAAAGGTTTGAAATAGTGAAAAAAAAATTCAGTAATGGGCCAATAAATGAATTGTGAAACAAGACAAAATGAAATTCTAGAAAGTAACCTAGTTGTGTTGTCATCTTTTTGTCACGGAAATAGAAGACTTAGGCTGTTGTAAACTATTTGGAAATCTGATAAAATAATCTTATATGTTGTCTGATTATGGTAAAAAGAGAGTGCTAACTTTTGCAGTTTCATTAGAAATATCAACTTATTGTAATATTAATTTTCAGTATGGGTTTATTTCTGTTGATTTGTTGGCACTTTTAATCAACAAATTCATATCTGTACAAACTCTTAAGTATCAACACATTTATTGAGCTATAATTTTCAACAAATCAAGTTTTCTCAAAATCAGGATTTGTTTGAAAAACCATTGTAACAGAGGTCATTATTTATTTTCAATGCCTCCACTAGAAATTGAACCCAGAACCCCTAGCTTACTAGTCCGACGCTCAACCAATCGAGTAAAGGAGAAGTTCTCTCTAGCCGAGTTGTATATTGCAGCTAATATTAGTTCCCAGGTTCAATTCCTAGCAGAAGCATTGAAATAAATAATAACTGCTATTACATTGGCGCCCATGTAGGGACCAGGGAATAGTACTAAGCCATGCCCCACAAGCATTGCTGTAACCCCTGGAAACTTGAGAACAAGTTATTTCCTGGAGGGGACGTATGTAACCCTGGTAAAAATACTAACCACAATATACTGCTTGGCTAGAGAGGACTTCTCTTTAGCTCGATTGGTTAAGCATCAGACTAGTAAGACTAGTAAGTCAGGGGTCCTGGGGTCGATTCCTAGCAGAGGCATTGAAGAATGACCTCTGTTACACCATGAAAATTGAACCCCAGGAAAATGTTTGAGTGTAAGGTTTATCTCCTTGGTCTGGCTTCCTACTTAAGTCCACTACAGATAGTGTGTTACATTTTGATGTAAATATACATGTAAATAGATAAATGTGAAATACAACAATGAAATTTAACATCGAATAATCCTGATTTGTTCTGATCTACAGGAGGAAGCTCGGAACACCATCAAAAAGGCACTGGATGAACTGGACTTTGGTCGGACAGAATGTGTGGTCAGAGTGAATTCTGTTGACAGTGGTTTAATGGAGGAAGACCTCAAGGTCATATTCAGAGCAGAGAGCATGCCTCAGACAATTATGCTTCCAAAAGTCAACAGACCACAGGAAATTCACCAGGTAGGCCATAAGTTAGCCATGTTGATTTTAAGATTGTATCAAAGAGTTTTATTCATACAACAGTGTCGGACAGTTATAGTATCATATATATATTGACAGGAGCGTTAATGTACACCGAGTAATGCTAACCTCTTCCAAATCTAGCCCTACATCATGTGCCATCAACTTTCTATGAAACATGCAAGTGTCAAATACAGCCATATCATATATCACTTTGTTTCACTTATAATATTTATTATTGTCAAATGATATGCTATTAGAATATCTTTATTTCATTTAAAATGTATTAATAACATTTGTTCACCTCGGTTAATGTTGTAAACCAAATCCTATGAACACTTCAAATTATTGCTGTATCAAATTAGTGGGATGAAACTGAAGTTACCCACTGCCAACATGGCAGATGCCAAACCAGGTAAAAAAAACTTAAGATATTTTTTAACTTTGAAGTTTAGCTGTAAGTGACTTTTGAAGGAGAAAGGAACTTTGCAAAATTTAGATAACGGAAACCATGTTTTGATACTGAAAGAAGAAAAAGGTTCCTGTTACAGTTATTTTTGTGATAGCATGTTTCATCCATACATGTTTACACAAGTAATAAACTCAAAGTTTAAGTTTATAGCAAGATAGTACACATGACATTAGTAACAAACATAACCAATATCGTATGGAAACAGAGCTATGTCTTTTCTTACCTGATTCCATTTCAGCCTTGTTGGCAATGGAGTGTGTTCATCTAAGTTTATTCATGATCACCAGAGTTATTTCCCTTCAACTGTTCTTTTGTTGAGATATTGACATGCAGAACTTCCTTCTTTGTAAAATTTGGTTTTATTCAAAATATATAAATCCAAGTGATTTTATAATTTGATTTTTATTTATTTGTTTTTTCTTAATTGAAACATTTTAATGACATCTAAATTTGAGATTTAAATTAATTAATTATCTCTGTATTTGTCAGACATTTTTTATTTTGTTGTGAGTTTGTCTTTTATACAATTTTATACTGAAGGTTGATAGATATTCCTATCCACCTCAATTTTTGCAGAGTCAATAATTATATAGGGTAACATTTAATGGTCACACCGATTTATTTATTTAATGGAGTTTACATTCACCATTCCAGCCTTTGACCAGACAAACTCATTACACTGATAATTAAATAAGATATTTCACTGATTTTTCAGTTCATAGAAACGCTGAGAGAATCACTTAAAGGAAGGAAATTAAACAACAAGATACAGTTAATAACCTTTGTAGAGAGTGCAATCGGTCTTATCAACCTCACTGAAATCTTTAGGACCACAACAGAGCTTTCCAGTTCCGAGGGATTCTTCGACCTTGCTGGGGTTGTCTTTGGATCTGACGACTTTTGTGCGGACATTGGTAATTCTGATTGAAGTTTTTAATCGATTATTCAAGAATATACTGGAAATCTTGGAAGTAGAACCAATAAAAACCATGTTTTAGTAGTCATCTTCAATTTAAGAAATTTTCTCATATATCTAGGAAATTTTAGTAATTCATACAAAAATGAAACCTCATAAAGTGAATTTTGAATGTTTCTGTATGCTGTCAGTTTCAAATGGATTTTAAGTGTCATTTATTTGTTTTGCTTGCACATATAAAATTTGAACTACCTAGATGTTTTCATAGTTTAGAAGATAATTTATTTAGGTGAAATGTTACCGTCATTAAGCAAGATGTTTTTTCCGTTAGGTGCGACAAGAACAGCTGATGCCTCTGAGCTGACATATGCCCGACAGAAGATTGTTACATGTGCCAAGGCATTCAGACTTCAGGCTATAGACCTAGTCTACATCAACTATAAAGGTATTACTGTAGTAATGCTTCATTGTAAGCTTAGTTCTAGTCACCATCTTTATCCTCGAATAAACCATGGGGGTGGGGACATTCCTCCTGACTCAGAATCAAAGGATGGGTCTATTACAGAACCGTGGAATATCATTGGTTTGTAGTTCTTCCAGAAATAGGTATGGATGGGTTTATTACAGACCAATAGAATATCATTTGTAGGTGATTCTGCTGAACAGTATCATAAAAAGATATATGGATGGGTTTATTTTCAAATAAATATGATACTAACAGTGTTTAATATTTACAGCTAAACATCAAAGTCATACAGTATGTTGAAAGTCCTGAGAAAAAAGTAATTACCTTTTTTCAAAACTTCATGCTATCAGGTCAATGTTTAAGATATTGTTATGCTGTCAAATTAAATTTTACCATTAGGTCAAAAATTGTTCTCGGGCAAAAATTTATTGAAAATGTCAATGTCAAAATTTTATAATGAAAATATTGGATGTTATGACACTTAAAAACCAAGGAGTCAACAAGTGTTGAATTGCAGTTAAGTTGTTGACAAGTTCAAACCTTAATGTTGGTAAGTATACACCTTTGATGCAGTTTTCTGGTTGAGTGCATACTTTACCTGTTGATAAGTCACAGTAAAACATGTTGATTTGGGCTGTGTTTGCTAGAGCAATTCTATGTGATATGTCAGTAAAAAATCCATGGTGAGAATAGGAAAACTCAGTCAGTGTTGCATATATTTTCAACATTAAAATTTTAAGTAACTTTATCTTGCAGACCTTGAGGGCCTGGAGAAACAGTCAATAGATGGAGCCAATATGGGGTTTACTGGAAAACAGGTGATACACCCAGGTCAGATACCTGTGGTCCAGAAGGCGTTCTCACCGAGTCCTGATCGTGTTGAGTGGGCTACGGAACTTATACAGGCCTTCTCACAACACACACACTCCGGCAAGGTACTATATTTTTAGCCTACCATCTTCAAATGGTGGTCCTTTCAATTTGCTCTTTGTCCCTAGCCTGTGGTTTGTTGACTGTTGATAAATCAAATTATTATCACTATTTCTTGAAAAATACTTATACCTGATATGTTGATTCCTCATGGTCCCTAGTTGTTTTAATTCAATTTTGAGTCTTACCAGTGACAAAATGGTAGACAGATAGTTTAATTGATTTTTCTACTGATCTGTAAAACAAAATGGTGCACAGGTAGCCATCTTTATTTTGACAGTTGAAAGTTGTCATCATTATTTCTTGAGAAGTACTTGAAGAATATTTCTTAATTCTTAATTTCCTGATGTGTTGGTTCCCCTGGATCTCAAATTGAGTCCATTAAATTTTGTGTTTCCTCAAGAAAACAAAATGGTTGACCAGAGACCATACTGGTTTGTTGTTGCTATTGCTCAGAAAGGTTTTGTTAGATCTTTGTTAGAGGTCTTACATAGGATTCCTTCATTATAAAATGACTTTGAGGAAAAGGGGAAAGAAAGGAAAAGCAGAGAAACATGAAGTCTTGCTAAGAATCAATAAAATTATTCAATGGTGGGCACTCAGATCTCTCTTGGATTTCTTGTTTAAAACGTGATGTCATATAGTTTCAGTATCTGATTTTTTTTAATTCATGACCAGACCTTATATTAAATGATATGTTAGCGTGAATTTGTACCTGTTGAACTACAAAACTTCATCAGAGAATCTTAGCTGATTTTCCATAATCAGTGTAATCAATTTCATCAATTTTAAATGAAATGGAACAAGTGCAAGATTCTGTTTATCTCATAATTATTCCAAACAATCCAAAATACAGGACTTTATTTATTAGACTGATCAAAATAGAAAATGCTGATTATTTCACTATATATCTGTTTCTTTGGTGATGTCACAATGAATAAGGCACCATGAAGCAATGACGTCATGATGATACTGGGAACTTTAAACTAATCATAGCATTGACAGGTCATGTTACACCTGTATCATAAGAAAAATTTGTAAAGGATGCAACTACTCTGATACCAGGGTAGTTTTGTGATAAGTTGAGATCTACTATAAGATGGCCATATTGAAATTTGATATGTCTTTGTACTGTACACAGAGAAATTTTTCAACCTGTTTAATTTTTGCCCTTTTCATCCATGAACTGTGCGGGACGATGTAAGATGGGGGGCAGAAATTTGTTACACTTACATAATGATGATAATGAGGCAAATTTGTGTATACTCATACAAGGGTGAAATTAACCTGAGGTGAAATATCCCACTATACAGTATATGTGACAGGGATCATTCATATCTCTATGAACAGTCAATTTGGTGAATAATACATTTCTGTTACAGGGTGCGTTTACATTCCGTGGAGCCATGATAGATATGCCTCTTGTTTTACAAGCCAGAAATATTGTACAGCTTGCAGAGGCTGTGAAGAGCTGACATGCAGACATATGTCAACAAACACACCTTCACCAGGAATGGTCCCAGATATTTGTTAAAGAGTGGATAAGCTATGGTCAGAATTAGACATGCAGTGTAGTCAAGTCCATTGGTATCACAAATAATACCTTGGTCTTAAATGGACAGTGGTCAAGAATGGACACACTGTCGACACATACTGTGGTAACAAGTGGACACACTGTAGACACATACTGTGGTAACAAGTGGACACACTGTAGACACACACTGTGGTAACAAGTGGACACACTGTAGAGACATACTGTGGTAACAAGTGGACACAATGTAGACACATACTGTGGTAACAAGTGGACACACTGTAGACACACACTGTGGAACAAGTGGACACACTGTAGACACACACTGTGGTAACAAGTGGACACACTGTAGAGACATACTGTGGTAACAAGTGGACACACTGTAGACACATACTGTGGTAACAAGTGGATACTATGTAGACACATACTGTGGTAACAAGTGGACAAACTGTAGGCATATACTATGGTAACAAGTGGACACACTGTAGACACATACTGTGGCAAAAAGTGGATACACTGTTGACACATACTGCGGTAACAAGTGGACACACTGTAGACACATACTGTGGTAACAAGTGGACACACTGTAGACACATGCTGTGGTAACAAGTGGACACACTGTCGACACATACTGTGGTCAAGAATGGACACACTGTCGACATACTGTGGTAACAAGTGGACACACTGTAGACACATACTGTGGTAACAAGTGGACACACTGTAGACACATACTGTGGTAACAAGTTGACAGAGTTGTCAGATGCAGATAGACAAAAGAACAGAAAATGAAATTTGTTTTTAATTGTAACCTGCTGTGATTTTGTTAATAAAATACTCAGTGATGTAATGCTTGTGATTTGTTTATTAAATGTACCAAACATTCAGGACTTTGTGGGATATATTTATCTTCATCACAGAAAACAACATACTAAACTTAAATTAAGAAAAATTATCTACAGTAATCTTACAAGACTGACATGTAAATCAATCTCTCAAGGACTAAAATTTTACATCTAAAGTTTGTATCTGTCAGTTACTGGTAATTAGTCATTTACAAATTAGATCATAACTTCCTTTACACTGCATTGTACTGTATTTCAAATGAAAGACTTTTGGTTATTTCGAATATCTATCCCCTGTCCTATGAAGATGAAAGGGACCCCATCCTTTCTCCAGCTGTGTCCAGTTCAGAATTGAAGAAACCAAATCTGACAAACATTTAGCATTACAGATGTTTTAAACCCATTAGTGATGTTAGGAAAGGGATCCGTGAAAAATACAGGTTATGGTTGCTGATAATTCTGATCAAGATTTGTGTCCTCTGAATCTGGGAAAAGTTTGATAAATGCAACAAAAAATGTTATATAGAATACTTGTAGCAGATGCTCAATTTGACAACTATTTTATGATTAAGTTTAACAAAGTCTGGAAGAATTGCCCTATTTCTGGGAATTAATTTTTTTTTATTGTCCCAGCATGTTTGAGTGATTCAGATATGTGGATTCTACACTTAATTTCCTGTTATATTTGTAAATCTCAAAAAGAATGCTACATAGCGATGTTGTGTGTCTGAAGAAATGGTCCCATACGCTGGTGGGATATCGATGAAGATATTTATGAAGCATTTTTCATTTCATACACTCATGCTTTTACTTAAAAGAAAACATAATTTCCTCTTTCTAAAAATAAGTTGTTTGAAATATAAACTTGATAGTATTTCTTAATCAAGTAATCTTTTCTGGTGGTCAGTGTTCTTTTCTGTGTGGAAAAAATACTGTACTTTGAAATCCTTTTCCAAAGTCACGTTTACTGCTGTTATTCTGGAGTTATTTCCCTTTAAACGCTATTTTCATTTATATATTGTACGTGTCTAAAAAAAAAACAAAAAATGGGGGGCAATATTGGGTTTCAATTAAAGTGAATTTCAATACCATATGAAATCTTTCCAATCTGAGATACATTGACTGTGTGGACAGACATTTTAAAAGTTACTTTCATAAGTGAATTTTTCTAGGGGATTTTTTTTGATGTGTGTAAAAAGTTTGTTTTGAAATTAAGGCAGTAGAAAGTTAAATTTCATATTTGTTTCCAATGATTTGTGGCATTGGAGAACAGGCCGCTGACCGCGTATCCTTTCACGTCTATTGAATGATTCGAACCCCTGACGCCTAGGTCACGGAGAGACGAATATAACAGACAATGTTCAGTGCCAAGCCATGTCAAGTTTAAGAGCTATGGTACGATATTGTCATTATATTCCAAATTACAGCGACTCAGTCAACCTCTCTTTTAAAAACATATTCCTCGTAAGTATGATGTATAAGTAAGCAGTGCTGTGGTAGATACATATAGGACAATGGGTACTCGGTAGTAAGCTGTAGGTGAATCCATCCGCTTGTCTATAACCAGGAACTATAGATAAACATTTTTTCTTGGATCTCAACTTATCTCATTTTGTATTCTCATTTATTAAGATATATTTAATACGAACGTAAAGGAAGTGGACAGATCTCGCATGCTGCCTTTTTCTTGAATGGTTTTATTTTTAAAACCTGTCACATTTTTGGTCTGCTCTGAACCTTTCCCATTGTTTACATCTTTCATTTAGGTTTTGTTAAAGTGATATGTAGTCGTGCTTCACAAGTCTTAGTTTTTCAGGTGGCATTTATAACCCATGTAAATGCCATTAAAATAATCATTGTATGCGGTTCAACAAATCTTCTTTGGACATCAAAAATAAGATGACCAAGCTGAACTAAAACTAAAATCCTTACGAACACAAACCCATTATGATGCTCTCGCCATTAAGATGGGTAGGCATGCATCATTTCTTCCGTCCGTCTGCTCGTCCTTCAGTCAGATGTATTGATAAAACCATGTTCGTTTTTGTTAGCGTTAGATTTTATATTCTGTCCTTTCCGTTTATTTGGTCGTCCGTACTTACAAGTTGTCTGTCCGTAACTGTTGATGCATTTTTAGTCTCACTGTTTCACGTTTTCTTCTGTGTGAGATCTTTTCATTCGTTCAAGTAGTCTCGTTTTTGTAAGTCGCAACTCAACAGCTGTCACGTGGCGATGAATACATATTTATCAAACATCTAAAACATTTTAATTATTGAATTATCTGAAAATTTAAATTTCAACCAAAAAGAGTGGCATTTAACGGGAAGTGGCTACATTTAAGTTTACAGTTTGTAGCGTACAAAGCAAAGACTATATAGGAATTTTCAGGGACTCAAATGAATTTATCTTAACAGTAAGATGGTGTCAATATCGAGGTAGTCTGTGTGTATATTCTCCAATGCTGGTTTATCGCGTTTTAAAAATATAAAAGTGCAGTCCACACTTTGGTGTGACAGGGTGCTATTGAAATCTTGCTATTGTGTAGCCATGGTGATGGATCGAATGTATTGTACACTGTACAGTACTTCTTTAATGTGATCAATGGGGAAACATAAAAGGGGAAAATGCTAATTGTATAAATTTATGGATTATGTCAAGGAGAAAATTGTAGACCATGATAGAAAGTAACAGCGTGCACATTTAAGGCTCTTAAGAGGACGAGCGACAAGATATCATCAGCGAAAAATTGTGGTTTAAAAAAAATAGATATACACGAGAAAAAAACCAGGAAAAGATGTTGAACTGTATAGCTAACGTTCAGGTATCTGTGACCATACACATAAAAAAATTCTGTATATACATCCCTGATTTTTTTTAAGTCTAGAGTCGAGGTTTTCTACTTTGCATTCTGTAATCATTTTATCTAAAAAAAATAATAATGAAATTAACATGTTTAAACTCTAAAATGGATCAATTATCGCACGTAACATCAAGTCAGCAATCCGTGTAAAACACTTTCATTTCCATTTTTCACTAAAAAAAATCCCCTTCTCAAATAACAGATAATTAAATTAACATTGTTTCATTTCGCACGTGCTTTGTAAAGTAAAGTGCCTGCACGATCAAGACAGGTGCGTGTGGATGAGGTAACCTTGCACGTGAAATAGAGGATGTTAAATGGACAGTTTTATGTACCATATTCTGATTTCTTTTGGATTCACAAAATGTGTGAATATTCTTTGAGGTTACTTCGAGCTTCACGATGCTTCCAGGTTTCCAGGTAAGCACTTAATTATTCATTATTTTCCATATTGAAAATCAGTCGGGTCACACTATCTTTAGGAGAACCGCGGGAAATGTTGGAGTGATCTGACATGATACATATATGTATATTGATAACTCTCCGGTAAAACTGTGTTTCAGAGAAATGCAAATCGAGAGAGATTTGACAAGATATGACTTTTGTCAGTTAGCCATCGATGAATATCTTCAAACATTCTTAATAATTCAGGTTTTTTTTAATCATAAAAGAAGCTGGGTACGGTCAAACCAACCACTCCAGTAATAATGAAACATATTTTCCTCTATAAACTATTATTTTCGTTCATAGTATATATTTATTGACATCAAATGTTAATTTATATACTTTATATAAACTGTTGCGTAAGCTTTAGAATATAATTACATAAAACACAACCAATAGAAGATAATGCTCCTGCTAGTTTCCAAAATGACTTATTCATAGCACCTTGCATCATTCAGAACTGTGTTAATGAAGCGACCTTTACATATTTATATATAAGTTGATCCTGCCTGCATATCTGAAGGTTCCGGTGGGCTCTAGGTAGTAAACACATTGAATTGACTACTGTAACAATACATGAGGACGCCTTTAAATTCCTATTGAACAGGAAATCAGTTAATTTTATCAATTTCTTAATTTTACATGAATCAGTTTTAGCAATTTGTATTCATAGATTGAAATCAGCGCAAAAAAAGCTTTTGTGCTGAGTACGTGTATTTGAATTGGAAATAATCTATTTCGCAAAATATTTTAATTGCAGTAATGAATTTGTCTGTACTTTTATCCTGTTTTCTGCCCTTCCCCCGACCCTCTCTTTCTCCTCATCCTTGGTCCCTGTTCCGCTTGACTGAACAAAATTTGAGGTATACAGATGTATATCTCGAACATGGTGTAATT